GGGTTTCCGTTGTTGTCTTAAGAGCTTGACACCGAATCAGGTGGGTCTTCTCCATTTCCTCCTGTAGGTTACATAGAGGGCATGTGAGTTGAGTGTATACTCCCAGGTTACGAAGGGCATATGGGTTGAGTGTATACTCCCAATCTGTGAAGGGGGCATGTGGGTTGAGTGTATACTCCCAATCTGTGAAGGTCCATGTGGGTTGAGTGTATACTCCCAATCTGTGAAGGTGTACATGTGAGTTGAGTGTATACTCCCAATCTGTGAAGGTGTTTATAGGCAATCGTGTTCGGTACGTAGTCTAAACTCATCAACGGGCGTATACTCCCAATCTGTGAAGGTGTTTTGCCAAGCAATCGGAAACCATTTCCTCCTGTAGGTTACATAGAGGGGATGTGGGTTGAGTGTATACTCTTAGGTTACATAGAGGGCATGTGGGTTGAGTGTATACTCCCAGGCTACATAGGGGGCATGTGGGTTGAGTGTATACTCCCAATCCAGAGGGCATGTGGGTTGAGTGTATACTCCCAGTCTGTGAAAGGGGGCTGAGCCGTTTCCTCCTGTAGGTTACATAGAGGGCATGTGGGTTTAGTTTAGGTTACATAGAGGGCATGTGGGTTGAGTGTATACTCCCAGGCTACATAGAGGGCATGTGGGTTGAGTGTATTCTCCCAATATACCGAATCAGGTGGGTCTTCTCCATTTCCTCCTGTAGGTTACATCGAATTAGGTGGGTCTTCTCCATTTCCTCCTGTAGGTTACGAAGGGCATATGGGTTGAGTGTATACTCCCAATCTGTGAAGGGGGCATGTGGGTTGAGTGTATACTCCCAATCTGTGAAGGTCCATGTGGGTTGAGTGTATACTCCCAATCTGTGAAGGTGTACATGTGAGTTGAGTGTATACTCCCAATCTGTGAAGGTGTTTTGATAGGCAATCGTGTTCGGTACGTAGTCTAAACTCATCAACGGTTGTCCAGTACGTAGTCTAAACTCAGCAACGGCTATGTCCGGTGCGTAGTCTAAACTCAGCAACGGCTTTGATTCTTGATCAGTCGGCCATGTCGGAGAGTGCCACTGTCCACTACTTTTTCTTTGTTCAAGCTTTAAGTTCGTTGCACCTTGAGGTCTTGAATTCTCTCCTGATTAAGCATTGTTGTCCTTGACTTCATTGTGTGGAAAGACATCGGCCGGTCCATGCATTGCAATATCCCTTAGCTCAAGTGGTATATACTCTCACAAGTTCGGGGTGGGAATTAATTACTTTATTTCAAACATTCATTTCCATTATTATAATGCGTATCATAAACTAATAACATTATCATATTACAAGAAAACTTTGCAGATTATACTCATTTATTATAGTGGCTGCTAGTTTTTTGGTGGAAACAGTCTTTCAATAGTGTTTTGACGCAATATATTGAATTTGAATGCCCACGCAATAATTTGATTGCTTTAAATTAATAACTTTTGATACTGCTTTGGGTTTAATTAAATTTGTCATCTTGCTAACACGGAGTCATTTATATGACAACTTTATTCATAAAACGTGCAGAATTTCGTTATGCCTAAATTCTAACCTGTCTGTTTTGACAAAATAATAGGAAATGTACTTTGGATAGGCACTTGATACGGAGGGGTGTGGGGGTGGATATGTATTAACTACCTATTCTATGAATATTATTAATTATATTTTCAATCAAAAACAGTATATATATATATATATATATATGTATATAAATATGTTAACAATGATGTCCAGAAATTCGTGTAAACTAAATCAAGGAACAAATTTTTTCTTCGTCTCGATAATCACCAGTTACTCTAGAGTGGAACATGGTTATGATTTCCATCGGTAGCTACTTTAACCACTGAATGATTACACAGATTACAAATTCCACTATACTTAAATTTAGAAAGCAAAAGCAAAGCGGAGTAATTTTATTAAATGCCTAACATAGAATAACAGTTTTGGAGCTTTCAACGTTGACAATTTTCAAGGACTCAAAATATTTTGATTGGGTCACGATAATACTTATCACCTCTTGAGAAATCTTTGCCTTAATGACAATAAAAGCCAATTTTTGGAACATTTTGTTCCTTATACATCAATTTTTAAGTGGTTTTTTGAATAAAAAAGAACTAAATTTTTCAAATTAGCTGAAACTGGAACAAAGACGACCAGAAAGTCAAAATTAAGTGCAAAAAGGTTTTTGAGATCTCCAGTTTTTTGCTAGGGTATTTGGGGGAAGGTGAGTTCGGAAGAGGAATGTTCTTGATGATAGAGAGGTTTCCACTTATGATATCATAATATTTCCAACGAATTGAAATTAGAAATTCACATATGGCTTTTTATAAACATGGAAACCACTGTAAAATAGCACTAGTGCGTATTTAAAATTTAATTAAACATTTTTGCTTGTTCTGTCATAAAAATAAAATATATTAAAAACAACTAGCTTTCAATTATGGGAAAGCGAGTACACTAAAATAGATTTTCAATGTTACTGACGCAAAATTTGGTAGTTCCAATCAACAGACATTAAAGTTTAGAAATAGCTATTTCGAAGCGAATTAGCTTATTAATCTGCATCAATAAATCTCACAAGGTCAAATAGAGTTGGATGATATAATTAAACTTAATAACTTCCCCAAGCGCTCATTTGAACGCAAACGGAATTTTTCAAGGTATTAATCCAATTAAAACTCAATTTCTTTTAATGAAAGAAAAAGAAGCGACATTTTAAATCTTTTATATATTTCTTGTTTATTAAGAATTTTGACAGAGTAAATCTCCTAAGAAATGGGGGGTGAACATTTTGTTCACTATGAAAGGTGGAAGAATATTCTGTTTTTGAGTAAAAATATTTTTTTCAAAATTTCCTCAACAAATATTTCTTTGGTTCTATTTGGTATAACAATAATGAAAATGCACGATTATATATCAACCATAATTTGAGAATTTATACAAGTCCCTACTCAAAACATCACATTTTCAGTTATGATCGACTGATGACGTATTTAAAAAAACACATAAAAGCAAAAGAAACTATTTAAAAAATATATAATTTCAACTTTTTTTAACTTTATAGACAAAAAAGAGAACCAATTTCTCTGGCCTGAGCAAACACAAAATTATAAAGCTGCATGCTAATTGGTTTAATTGCATAATGAATAAATTACGCATGATTAAATTGAATAATAATTGGCTACTAAACGGAATCATTTTGTAAGCATATGACAATAGACAAAACGATAAGAATTTGTTATTTCACCTCAAAGCGTATGACAAATGAGACACTGAATTCCATGTTAGAGAGGGGTGCGCGATAGACTTACCTCCACGTGGTGCACCCTGG